AATAAATCATAAATTCCAACTTTTATCTAAGTTTTATAGTGATAATGACACGAATTTTTAACGCCTAAGTAAACACGTCAGTCAGTAAATTATTAGAACTTTAACGCATTTAAATAGGAGCATATTTTTGTTAATAATGTACCCATTATTTAAAAAAAAAAAAGATGGAGCAACAATAGTAAAAAAAAATATTTATTTATTATGTCTTAAAAATCGTTTCGTTCCTGAAAATAAATACAAACAAAAAGCAATATAAAAAGAATAAAAAATAAGGAAAACAAAAAAGTAGATAATAAAAAAAAGGTTAAAATTTAAAAATAAATAAAAATATAGATAGAATTTAAAATTGAAGAAAAATAAAGATATAAAGTTTAAAAAAGCTTAACATCTAATTTAGCATCCATCACCCACGTTTTATTTTGTGGTACCGTGCCTGTATTTTTTTAAATAATAATTTTTTTTTCTATGACTTTTTCCTACCGATAAGCATAAGTTATTCTTTCTTGTGTGTCTTTTTCCGTTCGCCAAATTTGAGAGACATAGTGCGTTGAAATGAGTTTCACATACACCTAAGAAAACTTTGAAAAACCAGGTAGAAAATTTTCTGAGAACAAGCTTCCTAATGATTATTACGTTCAACCATTGCACTTAGAATGACTTCAAAATGGACGAATATAAGCAGTAACCATTTTCCGCTTAGTTTATTTTTGCATTAATTTACGCATACAAAATAATATTAGTTTCAAGTCAACAGTTCACTTTGTCGCATTTGCAGAAGCATTTTTTTTTTTTTGCTTTTTAAGGATTCGTGTTCATTTAAAATAGGTAACCACCCACACGATTACATCGGAGCAATCACGTGACTTTATATTGCCATGGTTACCCCAATTATTCGGACACTCCCCGAAAATCCCAGACAGTAAGTGTTGGCGGGCTTCTCTTAAGGCGAGACTTGATGCTAGATTTGCAGCTGTTGGTTGTTATGGCAACAGACAACCAGAAGAAGGGAAAAACTGGAAGAACAAAGAGAGAGAGAGAGAGCGAGAGAGAGAGAGAGCGTGTGTGTGTGTGTGTATGTGAGAAAGAGAGAGAGAGAGAGAGAGAGGGAGGGAGGAAAAGAAAGAGAAAAAAAAGATGAGGTGGAGGAAATAATAAATGTGTTCAATTTTAGTTCCATTTTTTCTTCTTTTTTTTCACTTATATAAAAATATAAATATAAGTAAAAAATGAACGCCGCCGTCATCATTTTTTTTTAAATAATGTGTCACTTATTATATTAAAGTTTCTTTTTCTTTTCCTAATTTTTTATTTATTTATTTTTTATTTTATTTAGTCAATATATTTCATCAGCGATGCCGACCGATGTAAAGAATCCGTTAAAGCGGAACGGGTCAGGATAACCTTGTCATTCTTTTTTTGTTTTGTTTGTATTTTATTTACAGTGTTTTTTTTTTTGCGGGGGGTGTTTTTTTAGCTTAGTTTATTTTACTGAAAGCGTAGTTCTAATTCGTACGCGCACGTACCGTACGCAGGACACGGGAATAATTGTTACAAGAAAATGCCATTTAAAAGAATACGTGTTAATGAGAATCACCAACCCAGAAAAAAATATCTAATAAATCAACAAATAAACATTTTTATTTTTTAACAGTCGACAAGAGAGAGGGGTATAAACAACGAATATCCAACCTAACGAGCTTGTTTCAGTTGTAGGACAGGGATTTTTAGGAGAGATAGCCAAAAGAAAAACTTTTACTAAGAGTCAAAAAGCACAGGAAGTTGTGGAAAGCCATGACCGTCCAATTACTGAATGGACACGGCACATAGAAGAAGAAGAAGAAGAAGAAGAAGAAGAAGAAGAAGAAAAGGAAGAAGATAATTTTATCGCCATTGAGAACCTTATTATCACAACTGTCATTTTAGAATTTTATTTTTAGAAGTAAATTAAAAAATATGTTCATTTAAAATAGGTAATATTCTTAATAAAATATTTCAGTTTAATTTATTTTAATGAAATATTTCATAATGAAATATTTAAATAAACTACATTTTAATTAAAAATAGTATTGAATACAAATTATTTACTAATTTAAGAATTTTGTCGGCAACCTCAGATAAAATAATATTTAATTATTTAAATTAAATAAGACTTCTAGTTTTTATTAAAATATTACTTACTAATTTCAGAATTCGATCGACAACAATATTATTTAAATTTAAAGAAATAGTTAACTAAAATATTAATCATTTTATTAAAAATACGATTTAAATAAATTATGATATTTATATTATTTACATTCGAACAAATGTCGTCAGTTTTACTTTTATGTTGTTATCATCGCAACGTTTCGACCATTGTGTCCTTCAGCCATCGTCAGGTCTCTTTCAATCCGGAAAACTTTCAAGTAATTTCAAGCAGAAATTAATTAGCGGGGCTAGATTGTTTTTGTTTCATTGTCCATGTTTGTTGATATTTCGTCTTGTTATTATTTAGAGGCTAGTTACCTGCCATAGACATCAAATCAGCCTGGTTGTTATAAAGAATAAGTTTCCATAAAACTTGCTTTTTATAAACAGTTATAAGATCACTACAATGAAGTCCGCGAGTCTGAAAATTTTACAGTACACCTTTGTACATCACTGTTTTAAATTTCTTTCAAACTTAAGCTTGTGTATTCGGTGATATTTTCCAGACCTCCCATTGTGACAGGATGTGATAGAAGGTCGACTTAATGTGAACCGCCCACACGGATATCGACCAAGGACAAATGTTACCCAGTCCTCGAGATTACTGTCATGCCGGGGTCGATATTACACCAACTCTCCTCTCTTTAGTGCAATGAGATACTACAGCAAGTTTGGAATCCTTGGGGCCAAGCCTTCTCACAGATACTACGCGTTTGTCTCTATCCGAAGGCCAAGTAAAGTTGTTATCCAGAAAAATAAATAGAAATTATAACGTAAACTTTTTTTAGCGTTGGCAAAAAAAGTCATATCTTTGGCTTTCATTTTGAAAAAAAATCATAAAGACAATAAGGAATCTTTTAATATATAATAAAGTAAGTTTTGTCTGGTGGCATAGCTAGCCACTCTTTGTTGCGCGCATGCCTGCTGATGCATATATGCGTTTGCTCAACACCCAGAGAGCCCACCTGTGGTTTATACTGCAGCTATACTGAGCGAATCATATTTACAGTTTCAGTGAGAGAGCGCATCAACTGGCGTGATCAACAGTTTGAACAGGGACGCTCGGTGTAAGCGTCCTTGTTCGAATTGTTGGTCACGCTAGCGGTCACAATGACTTATGACTTTCTGCTAGAACAACCATCGGCGGAACTGTTCCTTTTCAGTTTCATTCACAAGGCGTGGATAAACCTGTGATATAGTTTTCAGGCACTTTCTAAAGGTACCGCACGTTGTGATCGCCTGATACGCCGATATTATCATGAATAAGTATATATATATATATATATATATATATATATATATATATATATATATATATATATGTGTGTGTGTGTGTGTGTGTGTGTGTATTTAGGCAGCATATCTTCATTCAAGCATGTATGGTTGAATAATTTAGACATATTACGTCTATTTATTTTAATTTTATTCCTCTCATATTCATGGATCTTTTTTTTTTAATGCTATAATTAATTAAACTGATTGAGAAAGATGCTGTTCTTGTACTTTTTATTTCACCAAGTACTTTTAATCGCATCCAATATCATATTTAAGGGTGAATTGCTAAGACAAAGAATTAATACAATTGACAGTTACGATTTTTTTGTGGATGCGCATGAACGCGCTCTGTTAATTCAAAAATTTACCACTATGTAAGGAAGGTAACGTAATTTATATTGTAAAAATCTTTACTAAAAATTGTAATTACGTGTTTTAAAACATTCTGTTATAATTGTAATTTTTTTCAAGAATTACAATTTATATATTTCAAAACCCTGCTGTTCTGAATATTTAAAAATCTTGTTGCTATATTCATAATTAGTTTTATTTAGTTTTTTATTTATTATTTATAATGTTTTCATATAAAGGGCTTCCAGAATTTGAAGTTTTTTTTTTATTTATTTTTGTGGTGGAGTATAATTGTGTTGTCAATTTATATTTCTCTAAATCGGGAAAGTAGGCAGGAATGTTTCTTTAAATGTTGTACAATCGAACTAGAATCCGACATACGAGGTGTAAATTCTCCTCAATAAAGTTATTGTGTTGGTCTTTTGCAAAAAATTAGTTGACAGAGCTGATGATTAAGTTGGTTGTATTAAATTTAGTATAGTATATAATTAGTGATTTTTGGTTTTTTTTTAGGTTTTTTTTTAATTTTCTTTTTTGTCGGGATCACTATATTAGTATTTATGAATTATTTTAGTATTTTTTCATCTTGTTTGTAGTTAGAATGTATTTGATTGCAGTATAATAGATTGATGTATTTAGGGTTATTTGAGGAAGTATTATGTTCTTTTTTATATATATGTTAATATTTGTAAAAGCTCTTTTAATTTATTCATGAACAATGTAATTAGGAAAGTCATTATTAATAAAAGTTTGTTTAATGGTTTTTTTAATTCAGCGTACAAAATCTTTTTCGTTGAAGAGTTAACTTTTGCACGGTTTATTAAATTTTGTAATAGGACATTCATTTTATAGTTGAGTGCGTGTTTCTGCTATATATATATATATATATATATATATATATATATATATATATATATATATATAGTCCAAAAATATTTATATTTCCTCGACATATCCATGTCAAGCCCAGATAAAAAAATACATATATATATATATATATATATATATATATATATATATATATACACACACACACACACACACACACACACACACATACACTCACACACAAAAAAACAATTTGTAGAAACTATGGTAGCAGAAAATATTATTATTATTATTATTATTATTACATTAGTTTTATTAAAATGTTGTAATTTTATTATTATTAATTGAATAAATGCTTAGGGTCACATCACATTGAAACATTGGTTCCCGTACGATCACCGAAGTTAAGCAACGCCGAGCCTGTTAGTACCTAGATGGGTGAACGTTTGGGAATACGAGGTGCTGGTGCGGGTGGTGTAATGGATAATGAGTCAGATTTGTTAATCGAAGACACAATTTCTAATTCCAGTTGAGTTCGTTATATTCACTTACGTGCAAATACCTTGGGAATGGTATGAATCCACCTTTTCTCCCACAGCTATGGGTTAATTAGTAAAACTTATATCACAAAATAATAATTATCACACAAAAAAAAATTGTACAATCTCTTTTCTGGCTTTAAATAACCTGCAAAGGGTTGAGATGCCGTAGAAAACCAATCAATCATATAACCAATTAAATAAATGAAAATAATAATTTTTCCTACCCTAACAAATCATATATACCTTATGACTATCTACTAGAATTTTTCGTGTACTCATTGCCTCCTGTCTTTTTTTCACAAGGCATTTATTTTGGGATTTTGTTTCTTGCGTGTTATATATCAAGCGTTTTAAGGTTAAATATATTTCTGGAATAAAAACTATCTATCGAACTTACTGTGAATAGACGGCGAAAAGACAGTATTTTTACTCGCCGTAAGAATGAAGTACTATTGTCTTTTTTCTTACTCACGAGCTTCAATGCAATAACAGGGTGCGATGGATATACAAGCTGCGATAGATAAATTGTCGTCTAAATTACGCAAACATAAAAATAACACTGACATTTCATTTCAACAGATATATTTACAAAAATTACACAAAAAATCTTGAAATACTAAAGAGTAAATTTATTCAATAAAAACGCCATTAGCTTCAACCATAGCCTCCAGACAACTTTGTAATTTCCTGCAATTCTTCTGTGTGGTCTCCTTGTTTAAGTTGGTGAATGTTGCCATAATTTTTGCATTCAGTTCAGGGAATTCCTAACTGAACCCTTTATTTAATCTACGGCCGTAGACTGTCCTGGTTCCGTTGTTTATGTCTAGGAATATCGTCTAGTTCTTATTTTTATTTAGTACTGATTAGTTATTGCTCGCACGTTTCTACTGAGTGCAAGTATACACTGCTTGACCCATGGATTGAATTTACAACCACTATGTCACCAAATTCACAAACCAACGCGTTCACCCATGAAGCCATTGTCCCGTAGTGTAAATAATGATAACTCCCCATCTCAGAAATCCTGGCAAAAATTATGAATCACATCGATTAAACATGTAAGTGATCACGGTCATCCAAACATTCTATTTAATTAACATGTTTGAATTGACATAACTTTTTGGTTAATCAGTTTCCCGTTATCTGTTCAATTGTTTTGAATTTAGAGTGTCCCTTCTGGCTACCAACCAAGACTAGAGAGCCCAGTCTACCCTGATATTTAACCTGTAGAGGTTGGTGGGGGAGAAGAGATACATTCATGCCATTTCCAAGGACGTTTGTCTGAAAGTAAAGTAAAACTATGCCGGAATTTGAACTCGGCTTGTCGATTTCACTTTCCGCGCCAATAACTTACATTACACACAAATTGAATATTATACAGTGAACATTTCAGATCAACATTCCACAAGTAAGTATATATCAAGCTACAGATTTGTTGATACACTCATGTATTAAACAAAAGTAAAACTAGTTTTAATAGAATACAATGTTGCCAGACCAAACAGACGAGTTAGGTCTATAATACCTAACGGACTAGTTAAATCTATAGTAACAAACGAATTAGTTAAATCCATAATACCAATGTCCATAAAATATTTACTCTTTCTTTAAACTGGTTGTCCTCCTCCTCCTTCTTCTTCCCCCCTCTTCTTCTAATAAATAAATCTAAGTTGAATTTATGATTTGCAAGAATCAATCATTTATTAAGCAATTCTTCTTCTATGTGCTGTGTCCCTTCAGAACGTTCGCGATTATGGCTCTCCACCATTTCCTGTCCTTTGTAGTCTTAATAAATTTTGTCTTTTTGTTATATTTCCTAAATCCTGTTCCGCCATCCATTTACTTAAGCACGCTAGGTAAGGTTATGCATCGTTTTCGTCTGTCACTCTTTCAATATGTCCTGTGAGTATCAACATTTCTGAGCCTTCTTTTCTCATGATGCGCTCTAGAAATTATAAGCGTCCTTTTTTTCCATTTTCTCTCAAACTTAGATCACACATTTGATCACTAGGATTCTCAGCATCCTTTTGTAGAATCAGAATCACATTTCTGTTGCTTCAAATCTCTTATTCATCTGTGAGGAAATTGTCTAGTATACTGCCGTAGAGGAAGACGGATATTACGTAAACTTTCAGTATTCTGTTCTTTGTTTCTAATTCAAATTTTCTGTTTCTTAATACTTTGCTTAGCTTTTGAAAGGCATCTTTCGCTGTCACAATCCGCCTTCGGATTTCAGTGTCTCACTTTCTGCACTCTGTTAAAACACTTCCCAGATATTTATATTTTTGTCCTTGTTTGATTTTGGTATTTCAAATTTGTAATTTGTATGATGGGCTGTTCCTTTTGCTAAAAACCTTGTATTTTGTCCTCTTGCAAATGATTTTTTCTTGTTTTCCTTCACTACTTTCTGTAGGAGTTCTTATAGTTACCTTTCTGTGTCTGCTATCAACACTGTGTCATCTGCATATATCATGTTTTCTAGATTGTGGACGCCAATAATCAATCCAGGTAGGACTTCTAATTCTTTCAGAATAGCTTCACTCTATAAGTTATATGCCCAGTCTAACACCACTATGTTTTTTTTTTGTATATTTACTGAATTCATTTTCAAACATTATGCAGGTAATTTACTGCCAGTATAGGTTCTGTATTATTCTAATATCCTTCCTGAATATGTCAAGGTTACCTAGTTGTTTCAACAGTTCTTTGTGACGTGTTTTAATGATACTTTAAGCAGAAGTTACAAAATGCCTCGTTAATTCATATCACCTGATCATGAGCAAACTGACTTACCAAATGTCAGGGCACAACTGATAAAAGTCTGAGTATTATATGACATCAAGGTACTGTGGTGCCATCTACCATTACTTTTATATGTTGATACACCAGAACTTTTGGCACGGCAGTGTTGTTATATCTATAATACCAATGTTCATAAAATATTTATTTTAATTTTTGTTATGCTTGCTGGAGGAGGCGTTACTTATTCCTACTTTCGCTTAAAGGCCAAATCAAGTAGAATTATTTCCCACAGTCAGATAAAGTTAAATACAATTTAAAACCGAACTTATAATTATCGACCAATCAAATTCATCTGTTTGTTCGTTCATCCTTTTAAGCAACAAATGATTTCGCTTTTTTTTTCTTTTTTTTTTCTTTTTTGTTTTTTGCTACTTCTTCTGCGAAATGTCCACATAAAAAACTTGTTAATCTACTTTTTTTTTGTTTTTACTTTGTATCTTTTCCTCTAACTTCTATCTTTTCTGAACGGGTTTTCATCAGATTAACCCTGCCAAGAATAAGGCTATAGAATAAAATGACTACTGAGACAATATGATCGTTCAAAGGTTTCCTGGGACAAAGCTGTTCCAGATCATGAAATGAAACATAAAATTAAAAGTCAATGTTGTTCTTACTTTATGTACTTTCACAGAGCAATCAATGATAAGACAAGTTCGAATTCCAGTCGAGTTCAATGCATTCACTTGCGTGCAAATACTCTTGGGAAAGGTATGAATCCATCTATCCAACTATGGCTAAATAGCAGGACATACTGTGTGGTAAACTGTCCAGAGGAAAGACAACTCTGAATTCAAAACCTGAGGAGAGCCGTTTGGAGACCTTGTGCATCAGTTCTCTGTATTCGACTCTTCCAAAAGACTTCAACACGATAATCGAATCTTATGTGTGGGTAGTCTAGCTATTCGAATCTGAGTTGTTGGATCCTCATACGTTGAAAACGACAGGTAAATCCAGTAGTACATATAAAGAAAAAATCGATAAACATTCTTAAGATAAAAATATGAAAATAACAGATTACATCGTCTTTCCTGTTCAGTCATGTAATGTGAACTTATACATGGATTTTATACTATACAGATGTCAATGTTTGCGGTTATAAAAGCCAGGAAAATTTCATTTATTTTATCTTTTGTGTCACATACTCTACGGAATATACATAACCCAGCAGTCATAAAACATCGGGATATGTACAATGACGTGCCAAAAGTCATGAGATAGCGGCGTGTAAAGTTAATAGTAGGTGTCGCCACCATATCATGGAAATGTTCAAACCAATATCTTTTATGATTAGACATTTAGTGAATAAATGTCTACTTGTTATTTAACCTATAGCTATCAGTAAGTAGTGAACGCAACAGAGTAGCTGAGGATTTGAACTCGGTTCGTCGATTCCATTTTTCTCGACAATAACTGTTATACCACTAGAATATCCAATTTCCATATTGGCTTCCTATGAAAGCAATATATATTAACATGCAAACAATTCACTTCACCACAGAATTAGTTTATTGTCTATTATTATTTTTTTCTGTTTATTGTTAAATTAGTAATGTAACGAGTTTATCCACAACATTTCTACTGTGTGTAAATCCATACACATTTTCATTGGTAATCACATAGTAGGTACAAGTTGATTACTGCGGTCCGTGCTAAAAATGCGAGTGCGATTTGACGGAAACATACGAAGAAGTTAAGGCAGCTGTCGAACAAACCGTCAAAACTTGTGCAGGTTTCTTGATAGAAAATTTGAATAAAACAAATCATCTTAACTGCTGTTTCTGTTTAAATTTTAGTTCGGGTAGTGTAACGGATATCAGTGGATAAAATTTATCGACGTGTCGAGTTCAAAATTTCGGCTAATCTTTTGCGTTCATTTTCACATTAATGAGAAAAGTGATGAACTCCTTTCTTCTTACTAACTTCTTAGCTATCCTCTCTCAATAGGGTAGACTGGTTTCTCTAACTTTGGATGGCAACCGGTCTAAGTGAAAGAAAACTATGAATTTCCAAACATGAAGAAGGCAACGGGCAATCACGCCATTATCTTTACAAGAACGCATGGCAATTTACCGATAATAAAGCAACAAATTATATTGATAACCATAATCGCCTACGCCCTAA